GGGGTGGCTGGCCCCCATCCCGAGGCAGCTGGCAGTGCTCAGGCTAGGCCGGGTGGCTCTCGCATGTGCAGCTGTCCCCTTGGACCCGCAGGGTGATCTGGGGCATGTATCTGTGGCAACAGTGGAGGCAAGTCTCCATGGCTGAGGCTGGAGCTGACACATCATCATTGCTCATTCCATTGGCCAAAGCACGTGTGACTGTATGAACGTGTGTGTGTGCATGTGTGTGTGACAGCATGAGTGAGTGTGGCAGAGAGTACATGAGTGTGAGAGCACTGCATGAGAGCGTGAGTGTATGAGTGTGTGAACATGAGAGTATGAGTGTGAGTGGAGAGACAGGAGAGGGCAGAGGGGAGGCGTGCCAATGAGACCAGTTACAGATAATGGGTGAACGGGATGAAGAGCATCCGAGTGTTGGTGGCTGTGCTGATCCTCTACGACAGTGATGATTGAAAGTTTTCAGCATAGTGAGCTGAGGAAAAGAAAGGCAGCACCCACAGGGGGAGCCCCTGATTCCAAGGGGCCTGTCGTCATTGCCAGACTCGCTTCCCACAACGACGCAAAGCTAGGGTTTACCCAACATCTTCCCTACTGGGTTCAAGGCATTCTGGTGTCTTCCTTCTCCACTCCTATGAGAGTATGGATGGGCTCCATGCTTCAGGTTCTCCGAGAATGCCTCAGGTGACTTGCTCAGGGTCACGCACAGACCCAGTGGGAGTGCAGGTGACGGGGGCACCCAGACTGCGGACCCCTCAGCCTGCACCCTGAGCCAGCTGCCCCTCCTGGGCCTAGTCAGTTCCCAAGTGGTCTCTGAAGCCTTCCTCCAGTGCCATCACTTTTGGATGACAGGGCAGCCCTGCCCATCTGCCTGCCTCCCTCCCTCCACAGGGCCTGGGATTGGCAACATCCTCCTGGGACATCGGCTTCTTGGGGCTCGGCCGCTGGGTTGGGCTGTGGCAGTGGCGGAGGTGGGCTCTGGGCAGGTCAGTGGAACGTGAGGTGGGGGGCATGGGGCACCAACCCCCTCCCTGCTCTGGCAGGTGGCAAAGGTAGCAGCTCCCCAGGAGGAATGAAGCCTGTTGTCCCTCATGAAGTGGGCACCAGAGCATGGCCAGTGCCTGGCTGCGGGCCAGGGAGCTGGCCACTGACTAGGAGGGAGTCTGACCATCAAGAGTCCAGCCAAGGCAGAGGCAAGGGGTGGGACCGGTGGCCAGCTGTCCCTGTCCCTGCAGCCGCCCTAAGCACCACACCTGAGACAAACAGAGCATTGCAGCGTCCAGGGAAGACTGCCCTTGTGCCCCATGTGAGCAGGGTCCCCTGGCCCTCCTATCACCCCGGGCCCCCAGGCAGAGTGTGAGCCGTTAGCACACCATGCCTGGCCCCTTCCCTTGTGCCTTCCCTGGATGAACCTCCAGCGGGCCAACTCAGAGTCCTCGTGCATTCGTTCATTTATTCATTCAGCAAACATTTGAGAGTCTACTGTGTGCTGTGCACAGCTGAGAGCACAGCAGATAAATGCATGGTGCTGGCATCGTAAGGCAAGGAAGCCACAGACCATAACTGGGACACTAGCTAAGTATAAGGCACGTTGGAACTTGACAGCACTAGGGAGAAAAATTAGTAGGGAAGGACCAGCAGAACATGGGGCGATGGGGTTTGCAATTTAAGATAAGGTGTCTAGAGAAGATTCATTGAGAAAGTGACCTTTGTTCAAAGACGCGGAGGTCAGAGAGGGGGGCCCTCGGGTGGTTCACGGGGGCTCAGAGAGCTTCAGGAAGAAGGAAGCCCTAAGGCTGGAGCATCTGCTGAGGTCACGGGACGTGGAGGAGTCCGTGTGGCCAGGGCAGAGTGAGTGAGGGGGTGGCGGGAGATGAGGTCCAGGGGGTCAAAGGGAAGGGGGAGCTGGGCCATTGCTGTGCTTCGGGCTTTCCCTGCATGAAATGAGTAGCCACTAGAAGGTTTCAAGAATTATAATGACATCTGATTGGTGTTCTAGTAGGATTGCTCTGGCTCCTATAAGGTGGACAATGAGGGGTAAAGGTGGAAGCTGTTGTGGGGACCTGTAAGAGGAAAAGTGTGGCCTGGACCAGGGAGGAGGTAGCAGGGACTACTCGGACAGGCGTGGGATTCTGGATGTTTCTGAAGATGACTCTATGATGGGGCAACCATGGTGACAGGGGAGCCAGGGTAGAGGCAACCAGGAGCTCTGCGTGGGACAGGTGAACCCATGTGGTAGTTCCATGCCCTAGAGAGATGCCCGTAGGGCAGTAAAATAGATACGTCTGGGATCCAGGAGAAAGACGAGGCCTGGATATATAACCGCAGGAGTTCTGGCCTCACAGTTCAGAACTGGGAGACAGGTGGGAGTCTGAGGAACCTCGTGTGATGGAAGAGAGAAAAGATTCCAAGTCTGAGAAGTGAGCAGGAACAGCCAAGGGGACTGAGAAGCAGCAGCGGGGTGGCAGGAGGGCGAGCCAGGGACATGCAGGTCCCCAGAGCCCAGAGCATGGGGGCAACCCCGCTGTCATCCCCAAACTGCCCCGCCAGACATGGCAGTGGGAAGGTCACAGTTACCTTGGCAAGTGCAGCCTCCTCAGAGCAAGGAAGGCAGAAGGGAGAATCATAGGCAAGAAAGGACAACTCTTGAGGGATTTTCCTGTGAATGGAAGGAGAGAAGATGGACAGTTGGTGGAGAAGGAAGGGGATCCAATAAACTGTGCTTTTTGGTTTCTAAGGCAAGAGAATTAGTAAGGGGTGTATGAAGAGGACAGCGCCCCATAAAGAAGGAAGAATCAGCATAAGACTTGGGACACCCTTGAGCAGGACGGGAGTGGGCTGTGTGTTCAGGTGGGCACTGTGGTTGTGGCCATGGCTGGGTCGTTCAGGTGGCAGCAGGAGGGAAAACAGAATGTTCTGAGAGCTGATGGTGGCTGGGAAAGCTGGCCTCTGGTTGCTCCTAGTTTGTCAGTGAAATGGAAGCAGCAAAGCCAAGGGCTGAGAGGAGTGTGGCAGGGGAGGCGTTGGGGCCTTGGAGAGTAGAGGAGAGAGGCCTACAACTGGGCTCAGCACACTTCTGCTGTAAAGGCCCAGGTAGTAAGTGTTTGAGTCTTGGCAGGCCAGACAGTGTCTCTTATGGCTGCTCAGTGCCACAGTGTGGCACCAGCACAGGCATAGTTCACACACAAATGGGCGTTGAGGTGTCCCAGTAACACTTTATTTACAGAATAAGCTGGATTTGGCCCGTTGTCCATAGATGAACGACCCTCAGGGATCCCTGAGTGGCTCGGTGGTTTGGCGCCTGCCTTTGGCCCAGGGCGCGATCTTGGAGTCCCGGGATCGAGTCCCACGTTGGGGTCCCAGTGCATGGAGCCTGCTTCTCCCTCCTCCTGTGTCTCTCCCTGACTCTCTCTCTCTCTCTCTATCATAAATAAATAAATAAATAAATAAATAAATAAATAAATAAATAAATAAATCTTTTGAAAAATGCAGATTCCTGGGCACACCCCACATCTATGGAGTCAGAGACTCTTGGTCCCCACAGCATCTCAAATTCAGATTGAGTTTGCGATTCTGGATTTCTGGACATTGAGCTGGGGATTGAGACTCCACCACTCAGTAGACCCAGGGAGAGCCAGAAAGGAGAGAGTGGGGTGTGGGGTGGGTCACGTCCCCCAGTTAAGCCCAGTTAAGGGCACAGGCATCCTGGCCTGCTCTGAGCTGCTTGGCCACCACCTCCTTCCACGAGACCCTATGAAGACATCTTGCCCCCCCGCCCCAGCCCTCTGTGGCCACCCTTCCTCACCGGTAACCTCTGGACCACTGTGTTTGGATGCAATGCCTGGGGCTCTGCATACTGACACCTCTGTGGCTGTGGTTTCCTGTCCAGGGCAGCCACCAGCACCTGCACACAGTAAGGCCTCAGCAAGCACTCTGTTCACCAGGGAACCCACCGCTCTCTGACTTAAGGTTAACAACTCTGGTGAGATTGTTGGGTTTCATGCCCGGAGTCACCTGGTACAACCCACTCCAGGGGCACCTGATGAGCATAAAGGAGAGGCTGCCTCTGAAGCCCCTTCACCCCCAAGGCTGCAGGGACTCTGTTCCCCCGCAGCCATGTAACCATCCTCGTTCTGCAAGAGAGGCACTGTGCCTCTTGTATAGATCTGAGCAGCGGGGAAGTCAGGCTGGTCCATCTGGTGACAGTGGCCCTGATAGAACCCCAGAGTTTGAAAGAAAAGGTGACCAGGAGGCCTTCAGGTCTGCCTGGAGCCATCCCACCAGGTGCAGGTGGACAGGACCATGTGGACAAGGGGCCCCGGGAAAGGTCAGCCTGGGTTGCAGCATTGCAGCTCATGAGGAATCACCTGATCAGCCCAAAGCCTGGAATCAATATCAGCCACTTCTCTGTGGGTGATTAGACTGAGGGCCTCCATTCTGGCTACATGGGCCTCTCCAGCACGGCAGTTTACCTCTCAGAGCCAGCAAGGGAGACAGTCTGCTAGCAAGACAGAAAGCACAGTATATCACCTGATCACAGGCATGATAGCTTGTCACCTCTGCCAGGACCAGTTGGGCAGGAGCCAATCTGACCAGCTGCATTCCGGAAAACTCCACAGTGACACCAGCAAGCTCCCCTGGGCTGGGAGAGGGTGAGAAGCTGAAGTCAAGCATGAGCCTGGGGGATGGTGGTGCCACTTCCTGGGACAGGAGAAACCCTTCAAAGTTCTAAGTCCCTGGGACCACCAGAAAAAGTCTCCCAGACCCTCAGGAAAGCAGCTGTGGAGATGGAAGGACATCGTCACACATCAGGGTGGGAGAGTAGGAACCTTTTACAGAACCAGTGACCCCAACCATCAGCTTTGTCTGAGCCCCCATGGATTGATCTGTCTGATGAGGGATGTGAGATGCCCCACAAACTGGACCTTCAGCATTACAGAGCCTCGTGGGCAAACCAAACTGGTTTTTTGAACTACCTCCCCTCTACTCTTCTTTTCCTACAGAATCTTCCCTCTGTGAAGAAGAGAGCAGGTCGAGACAAGTGAGGCCGGCCCCATGTATCCAGAATCGACGACAGGATCCCCGGCTCGGCTCTCTCTGCGGCAGACAGGCTCCCCCGGCATGATCTACAGGTGATTCCCTGCCCCCCACCTACCCAGGCCACTCGCAGGTCCAGTCCTGCCTCTGAGAAGGGGTCCCTGAGGCCAGTCACCAGCCCTTGATCCAGAGGGAAGGATGGAGGGAGCTCCACAGGGCTCTGAGGTGCGTGTAGGCAAGCACTTTCTCCGAGGAAAGAATGGAAGCCTTTAAAATCCAGGATTTTCCCTGTGGAATATAGCCAGGATTAGACTTGTCCCCTACTCTTCTGCAGCATTCCAGGGGTAGCAGCAGGCCTGGAAGTGAGCACAGGACCCTCCCCAGCTTGTTTCTTTCTCATGCACCTCCCTTTGAGGGAGTCGCAGAGCTTGCCCCGGGGAGATGAGTGGGGACAGCCAGCTGCTCACCAGGCCCCCTTGCCTTCCTTCTGTGGAAGCTGGTTCCAAATCCAGCTCTGGGTCTTTCCATTTGGAAAGTAATCCAGGCTGACCCACGGGGAGAGCACGCAAGGCATTGGATAACAGCACGGAACACAGCACCCAGACAGCAATAGCTGTCACCAAAGATGGACCCAGGTGGGACCCCAGGGGTCCATCAGCCCTCGATTGATTGGGGCTTTCTCAGTCGCTGTTAGGGCCTGATCCAGAGCAAGTATCCGTAGAACCCACAGGGAAAAGGAGTGTCCCTCTCTTATCAAATTCCTAAAAAGAGCCCCGTGGTCACAGAAAGACTCGCCAGCATGTGGGGGGACGGGCCACTTCTTGGTTTGAGGGTTTTGTACGCTCGTTCTAAAGCATATTTCATTAAAACCCGACCAGACTTGCACTCCCAGGTTTACCTCTTGTCTTTGCTTCCCTGCCCTGTGTGGGAATGATACCAGGCACCAGAGGACCCCCGCGTCCCAACCGACCAGGCTTCTGCCTCCGTGTGCCACTGGGTGGCACTGCCGCCGAGCACTTGGTACCTGGGCACGCATCCTCCCAGCAGTCCGGAGCAGAGCGGGGTGGGGCCTGGCTGCGGGGTGTCGCTGGTGCTTCCTGGGCCTGCATCTCTCTGTGGCTAATGCCAATTGTGGACTCTCTCTCTCCTTTTTCTCTGTCTTCCATCGCTGTCCGCAGTACTCGGTATGGGAGCCCCAAAAGACAGCTCCAGTTTTACAGGTAACGAGCCCTCTGTTTTCCCCAAACCCCAGAAGCTGAAGGCAGGGGAGCAGGCGGGAGGGCCACACCCATCCAGGTCAGGCGTGCTGGGGATCTCTCGGAAGTAAAGGTCCCCAGTAAGACTGGGCTCTGGTTCCCTCCCGGGGCCCACTCATACAGCATGATGTAATGTCCCAATGAACAGCGTGAAGTCGGGTTCCATATGTGTGCTGAGCTCTAGAACTTGATATGATTGGAGCAAATGGACTTCTGATGCCTGCTTAACTCTCACCAGATCTACATTAAGATCTCCCTTGTCAGGCTATGGGTGCTGTGCTTCCTGTCATTGGGTTTGTGCTTTTTGGGTGATCTGAGTAAACGACGCAGGCCAAACCCAACCATCTCCCCTTCTTTTTGGGTTTGAGCTGATTTGCAATCAAAGGCCAATTCCTTTCTTGGGGCGTGTGGATCCACTGTGACCTGGGCCAGGGGTGGACCTGCTGGTGTTTCTCTAGTGCATCTCCCTACTGGGGAACTGGCACACCGTGTTCTTCGGTGCGAGGCTGTGCCCCAGAGAGACGTGGCATCAAGGGGCCCTGCTTTGCAGCCCAGGCCAAGGCAGGTCAGCCAGCAAAGTCCTCCCAGACGAGTCCCTTCCTCCATTGGACAATTCACCTGTGGAGTGGGGAGGCGTGCCACAAAGACGTGTGTTTCTCAGGTAGTCTGTAACTCTGGGAATTTACACCAATGGCCATCTTCCTCGTGTTGGGAAAGTGTCAGGGTTGAGGAAGCCACTGGTCAGCCCCGACAGCGTCAGGACTGTGGGGACTCTGTGTGGCTCTTGGGAGTGGGGCCCCAGTGTGTGGTGTGTGCCTTGGCATTCAGACCTGGGAGGTCTCTGTCTGGGACAGCCCCCAGGGCCGAGCCCATCTACCAATGCAGAGCCAGGGGGGCGGTTACCACTGATGCACAGGGAACTGGGGGCAGTGGGTGCTGGGGTTGGCCCTGGGTTTCCACCCAGCTTTTCCTTCCCACAGCCTCAGCACTTCTGAATGTGGCCATGGGCCTGAGTCCTCGGGTGAACTTCAGCACTGCTTCATTGCCTCCCACAGGGTCTCACCCCTTACAGAGAGCCCCAAAGAGATGGCTGAGATTTTTGCTAGATAAGATTTTGCCTGAAAACAGTTAGATATGAACTTGGCCTTACAGATACTTTTCTGGGATGACTCATTTGCCATCACGAATACATGACAGCACAATGTGTAAGAATGCAGATGAGACTTTTGTCCCAGAGATGTAACCCGCCCATAAGACTAAATGTGACCTTGAGCTATATCCTCAGAGAACTCAGGGGAGAGGAGTGAGACAGCCAGCAGCAGAACTGTGGCCTAGACCACCAACCAGAAGGGCCATGCTGAGGGGGGTGCCCAGGAGATTGTGGGATATCACAGAGCTTAAGCAAAAGAGAGTCCCTCGCCCCTTGCTGGCCCTCAAGGTCTCACAGATCCAACCTATTGTCCGCTCCCGGGGAGCCCTCTGTCCTGCCCTGAGGCAAGTTCTATTGGAGAACCGCCCCCCAGATGCGCAGACCTCCATCTGGGCCTCCCAGCACTGTGTCCCTGATGCCCATGGGCTCCAGCCATCCCACCCTCTGCATCTCCAGTGTGGTTTCTTCTCATCGACACTCAGGTGTCTCTTGTGGGTTCTCTGATGATGATCTCTAATGAGGTGGAATCTTTGTTGAACCTCCTGGGTGCCACTCCCAGTGGGGCATCGTTGTCATATGGGCACTGATGCAGCCACAAGAGATTAAGACAGTTGGCGACATGGCCCCTCCCCTGACGAGGCAGAGGTGTTGTTAGGGGCATGTGCCCCACCCTCAGACAGTTCACAGACCAGTAAGGGACGCAAGACCCTATGTCTATCAGCTGTTCCAGAGAATCCCTTGTAACAAACAGCCTCCAAACTCAGTGCCCTACGACAAGAAGCGTGCATTTCTTGTTTTATGTGTCTGTGTCAGTTCACAGAGGCTGGGCTCAGTTGGACGTGGTCTGAACTGCAGGTGGGGCCAGATGTTCATCCTCCTGTCCTTTTAAACCAGAGGCTATTCCAGGCAAAAGTGCCGGAGGAAGAGCAGGAGGGTGTCACATCTCTGAAGGCCCATAGTCAGAGGCGGTGCGCTGGTGCTTCTGCTCGTTCTGCTGGCCAAAGCATGGCTCATGACCTTGCCAGATGTGAAAGGGCAGGAAAATATACTCCCACCCCCGATAGGAGAACCACTGTCACGTGATGCAGAGCGGGGGGTGGGGTGGGGTAGAGGACCTGGAACCATAGTGCAATCTATCCCAGAACCCAAATAACCAATAATATGTAGATGGCAGTATTTGTCTTGGGAGAAGTCCAAACAGCTGTTGGCGTTCCGAGGAAGGAGCGGGCCTGGCCAGCTGAGAGTAAAGGAAGGCTTCATGGAGGAGACAGCATGAGGGCTTTGAGCAAGGGCCTCGGAGGCCAGGCAGTCCTCAGCATAGAGCCCAGGAGGAACATTCCAGTAGAAGCCTGAGCTACCGCTTGAAGAGGTGCCAAGAACAGGAAGTGGTGGAGACACAGACCCCGCCGTGAGGAGCGGGACAGACAGTGGCAGAGGCCAGACTGTAGAGGAAGATGGATGTCAGGTGGAGAAGGGCGTTGAGCACCTGCAGAGGAGCCTGGACTACATCCAGTGGGCACTGGGGAGCCATCGATGGTGTTTGAGCAGGGCAGAGACCAGAGCCCTGTGAGGGGAAGGAATAAGATGGCAGGTGGAGAGGCTGAATGTAGGGAGCCCAGGAATGATGGAGAAGGACTGAGCCTCAGAAGCCACAGGAAGAAGAGTAAACAGCAGGAGAAGAGGATGTGAGGAGCCATGTTTCCCAAGTGACTGACAGCTGGTGCTGAGAGGGAGGTGGAAATGACAGAGGGACATGGAGCCCGAGGGGAAGGGGACAGGACAGGTCAGAGCATATCAGGGACCTGACATGGCAGGCTCGTGCCTTTGAAAGCAGCCATCCCAGTCTCAGCACTGGGGCCTTTCCAGGGAACTATCCAGTGCCCATTCTCAGTTCCACGTCCCACTTCCCATTTTGTTTGCTTTCCACTCTGGGTCTTGGTAGCAATTCCCTGTCTGGGGAGCAGCCACCATGTGCACTTTTGTCACTGCAGAAGCCAGTCAGCCTCCATCCAGAATCCCTCATGCTGGAAGATATAGTCATACTGAGATTTCTTTGGGATCCTAGGATGATGAGAAGTGCCTCTGGGGTCGTGACCCTGGAGCAGGGCCTCAGCATGGCCTCAGCCCAGAGCTCAGCCTCAAAGCATCTTCCAAAGCCCGGGTCTGAATGTGTGATGTGAGGAAAGGTGCACCCCTGTCTGGAGCGAGTGGTAGCGTGTGTTCTAATAGCAGACGTCCAGAACCTCCTGGCCATTTATAGGTACAGACAGTATAGGATATACCAATCTGGGGCACGTCCCAGTAGGAGGGAAGGGGGATGTCCATCTGCATGGCTGAGGGCAGATTTCTCCAGGCCCCAACCCCTTCACCCCAGGTGGTGGTCACATCCTAGGGGAACCCTCAGCGCATTCCCACAGACATGGGAACGTGGTGGGCAGAGCTCTAAGCCCTGGGTCCTGGCCTCAGACAACCAGAAGCACGGCCTGCCCCTCCCCACCTGTGGGGACCTGTGGCCCATGTCTCCCTGTCTGGCACCTGTTGGTGAGCGGGCAGTGAAGGCCTGATGGGAGAGTGTGCCCAAGGGAAATGGCAGGACCCCAGTCAGTGCCCCTTCCCAGCCCCCCATGCCAAGAGCGGGCCTTGCCAGGCTGCACCACGGAGCTGTACTTCCCGGGCTTTTAGGGGAAGAGACACTCGTGAATAATTCAGCCTCTCTCACTGAGCTGAAAACGCCCTAATAGACTAATGGACTCCCTGCCTCCAAACTCGACCCTCGTGGGGCGCTTCTCATTCACCAATTGCTTCTGACGTTCTACAGTGACACTCCCTAATGAAACAGCTGCTGCGCCAGATCCTTAGAGCGTCTGGTGAACCCTAGTAAACTAGACTGTGTCCTTTTTAACGAGCAGACGCCCGGAAGGCAGGTGAGTGGCCCCCGCAGCTCCAGGAGTCCAGGGGCAGCCACCTCCTTAGGGGTTGCTGCCTGGGGACACGTGTCCCAGGAATGGAAGTCACAGAGGGGCCATATTGGGGGATGCATTTGGCTGATCTGAAATTAGACCCCCTATATATTTTTTCAAGGCAGAAAGCCTCAAAAAAAAAAAAAAAACCCAAAGAAGCTGGCCCTAGGTAACTGCAGGGTGACAGTGGGAGGAAGGAGGGTGGGCATTCTGCTGCTTGAGCACGCTTGCCTCCCTGCCTCCCTGACCTGCCGGGTGCCCATGTCCATCTTCTCATCTCGGGGAGACCTAGACGTCCAGCCTCACCGTCTTGGGTTTACCATTAAGATTCAGCGTTTTGGGGGCTTCCCGAGAATGACAGTAGGTGGGGGTTGGTGGCTGTCAAAAAGATCTTTCTGGAAACACATGCCTCGGGGTGCTGGGGGGCTGCCTGTTTGGGCCTTGGTTTGCTGACTGTTTTCGAGCAAAGGTGGCTTTGCTTTTGCCCTGCTGCGATGCTGTGCGTTGTACATCCGCACTCTGGAATGACGCAGCTTCCCCGTGCATCCCCGCTTTCAGAAACTTGGGCTGGTTTCTCTAATATCGAGACAAATGTCACCGCTTAAAAGAGCCGTTCGGGATTCCTTCCAAGCCTCACGTTTCAGGCTTTGGGGGCTTTCGGTAAACAGACCGAAGTTCAGAAATTCCAGGTAGAGGGCTCTTCGGGGAGCCTGTGGTCCTGGTTGATTTAATGAGGCCGATGCCTCCCCTTCGCTTTTCCTTGTCATGGTGTTCGTGTTCGTTTTACGGGAATCCCCGCGAGCCCTCCCTCCACAAGAATAGATTTGCAGAAGGCGGCCCGGCTGTGGCTCCGG